TAATTACTCCCAGCTGTGTTCCCACCTGTATGTAATCCCCCTGTGTTCTCTGAGTGTATTTAAGTTGTGTCTGCTGTCATAGTAGTTGCTGGTTCGTCTGTGTTGTTTCCCCTCGGTCTCCCTGTATGTATTTCCCCGGACCTCCCTGCACCGTCATTCCTGGTTTGTGTTGTTAGTTTACCCAGTTTAGGTTTCGGTTTCATGTTCACACCCCGTTGCTGTTTGTACCCACTGCTGTAAATAAACACTCACCTGCACCAGAGCTGCTGCCTTTTGGGTCCTTAAATCCACACGGCTTGCCCCGCAAACCGTGACACTCTCATGCCTTTTTTTTTTTTTTTAATCTCTACTTTGTTGCAGTTTCTCTGATTTTGATTTGGTTTCCCACATACATTCCATTTGTATTGTTTACTTAAGCATATAGTAGTTATAAATTATATTTGTAATTAGTGCTAGTGTCAGATTCCATCCATCTTCCAGGGGGCCGGAGTGAGTAGAGCGAGAGGCAGGGTCTGGGCTCACACAAAGTGACAGACAAACATTCACACTCACATACACACCTAGAGGATATTTAGAATCACCTGAGCCCACTAATGGCATGTCTTTGGACTATGGAAGAAACCTGGGATAGCAAACCTACAGAGACACGAGAAGAACTCCACAAAGTTTTTTTTTAAACACAACAACAACAACAACAACAACAAAAACCTCTGCTGTCATTTTGCGGTTTCAAATGGGTAAGGTGGTTTCAGGAATCGTCTCTTACTTTAGGAATATTGCTGATAACCAGATTACTATGTAATAATGAAAGTCCTTGTGAAACACCAAGAACAGATTCTATAACCAATGTATGATATTCTCTCTTCCCAAATAAAAAGGAATACACACACACACACACCACCAAACATCCATTCACCCGTCCCGCCTAATTGTTATTCAAACTATGATACTCTGTTTGTGTAACGTTTTCTGATACAATAGCCCAATTTCCTCTACTGCTGATTATTTAAGTTTCGTCTTCTCTCTCCATTGTCCTCTTTCCTCTGCCTATTCCCTAGTCTCTTCCCTCTGCTCTCCTCTCCTAATACCCCCACACAACATATTTTCTCCTCTTCTATGATAAAATCCCTCACGTCTCATGTGTACCGGCACTGTATGCTAATGTGCCGGAGAAAGAAGCTCAACTTTAATACAGTGAGGAGTGTACCTGCATACAAAAAGAAATCTGCTTTGGCAGCAATGTCCTGTGAAGTAAGCTGGTGACTGGGTGAAAACACAATAACACAAAAAGGTTATTTGCCCTGTGAGGGTCCATTTCCGCAAATATTATTGGGTCCCCTATCTTGTGTCAGCATTTTTCTCTGTCTCATTAAGACTGAGCTTGAATTGGTGACTATGGTGTGTGTGTGTGTGTGGGTGTGTGTGTGTGTGTGTTTATTTCTTTTTCAAATATTCACAAGACACTGTAAGCACACAACAAAAAAGAGAATGAGTCATATTTTTATACGTGTAACCTTGACAAAGTTTTGTACCATTTTTCCAAAGCTCACAATGGGCAAAGTCGAGTCTCTTTTACATATCCAAATCTTCATTTCACATTTACTGAAAAATTGCATAAAGAAATTCAGTTTCAATGCTGAACGTTTGTTTGGCTACAGGGAAGGTCTAGTAAGTTCTCAAGAAGCACAGGATGTCAAGCGTCTGTCTTATACATTCAAAAAACATAAACATATTTATAGACCTGGGGTAGTTGTTTCTAATTGAAGAAAGGGAATTACAGTTTGGTCCATAAGTTTTTGTTTAATAACAAATTTCTTTGTATTTATTGACTCTGTGCAATGACTGCCAGATAGACATTACCAAATGCTATTTCTGCCTTTGAGATACTCCGATTGGTCTTTAGTGCATCCACCATCAGATGCTCCTTTTTTATGGGTCTTTTTTGCCTTCAGTTTCCAGGCCACTCAGTATCCCATTTCTCTTCCTTGAGAAAATCTTTGGTTGTATTTGCATTATGGTTTAGGTCATTATCTGTTTACACTGAGGTACTCTCCGATCGCTTTTTCAGCATTTGGCTGAATCTGAGCAGAGTATAGCCATGTACGTAGACTTTAGAATTCATCGTGCTACTTTCATCACCAGTTAGATTATCAATGAATACTAATAACACGGTTCCAGTGACACCCATACATACCACAGCATGCCTCCACCCACCAGATATTGTGCTATGCATTGGGTTGGTATGATTCTACTCTGTTATTGGGTTTTTCACTCTAATGATGGGCTTCTTCATTTGCATCAACATCTCTTTGGACATTATACTGAAACAGCTACTAAATGCAAGTTAAAAAGTTGGAATCAACTGTAAAAGTTTTTTTTTAATATATTTTTCTCTTTCTCTTATATATTATATATCTTAACTTGTTATAAAGTAATCAGGGAACAAGCCTCACCTGGCCATAAAAACATTTAAGTCAATTGTCAAATTACTTTTGAGACTTTGAAAAAGTGAGACTGTGTACGAATGGCTGCAATTCTTAAACAATTAATCCAAGGCATGTGTTTAATCCCTTGAATTAAAGCTGCCCTTCAATGACATCTGATGAATTGTTTTAAGGTGTCAGTGAACTGGCAAAATTACAAAAAAAAAAAAAATCATTGTCATTGTCCAAAGACTTGTGGACTTATGGCTGATAAAACATTAAATGTCAAGTTGAAGGTTAGCTCCTTTTTCTATATGTTGCAAATGCAAAAACTAATTGCAACTAATTGCTAATTTTACAGTATATATAGGTCCTACGCTCCAGATAAAAGTGGTCTGCTTTAAGTATTTTCAGTACAAAAACATTATTTTACGTCAAAACTGCAGCACGGACAGTTAGAAAAAGAGTGCAGGCAATTACGTCCAGCATTAGCTTGGTACTTAGTCCCTCTTCACCATCCCTGGCTTTCAGTGGTCAAGCACTCCCAAAAGGCCAGCATGACATTTTCAAGTGAAAATGCCCTCCTGAGAGGTCTTGTCTAATTACATCAGAATCACACACAGTTTTACAAAAAGCTGGGACTACTCCCCAACAAATCAAGGCCTAGTTGAAATGTGTGGAATATGCTGTGAAAGAGGATATGCACACTTATATTGTACTTGTATAAAGCACCACATAAAGGGAAAAAATAGAGAGCTCAGCTGAAAATTGTTAAAACAGCACTAAGTACGATGGAGGCTAGTGAAGCAGCACAACACACTATGGGTGAAAGACGGCCATATGGAGAGTTTTATTATAAAAATGAAATGTCCACTATTTGAATAAATGAATGTGACAAAATGATTAATGGTACAGAGTCCTAGCATATGCATATTTTAGGGAGTGACAAGGGGAAAAGAAACTTGAAAGTTAACTTTCAGAGAAACAGCAAATTAATTAAATCTGTGGGGTTTTTGTTATTTTTTCTTAACACTTTCCAGAAAGAATACAATGTGGAAAGGACAATGTAGTATTATATTTTCTTGTAAAAAAAACAAAACAAAAACATTATGGTGCCATTTACAGCTGATATCTTCTGGATGCACCTTAGGGCTAGAACTGCAGAGCATTTTGACTTACTGAACCCATTGAGGTCCTGGTTGGAGGTGGAAAAGGGGTCATCTTTGTGTAAGGTGCTGACTTTAGTGGTGCTCTTATCAGCTGTGGTGACTGGACCCATCTCCCTCTGCTGAGTGGAGCTGCTAGCAGTTTCCTTCTGCTTTTTTGCCAACTTTCTATAGAGGTTCAAAAACATAAAAACAAGGATACACAAAGATGAATTATTCACATACAGAAATGCATGCAATTCCTTACATCCACATGCAGCGCGTAAACACAAAGGCACATATGCAAAGAAATGTTCTTTACGGAACAACAATACTCTTTGGAAGATGAGTTATGGTGAGAACACTAAGAAAAGAGAACATTTTCTTTATTATATGCAGTGACTTGAAACAAAAGAGAATAAATGGCAATATAAGAATGAACAGTGAGTTCTGTGCGCAATAGTGTAGGCAGAGACACATTTCACAGCAAATATTATATGAAACATATATTTTACTTTTTACTTTATGTCAAAATGACAAGGAATATGATTTTGATGATGTATAATGAGTAGTTAAACCCAATCAGGAAGTAAACATGTGCATTTGCATCATCTTTTTAAAATGTGTGTTTTACCAACAATAAAAAAAAAGTTTCTCCATATCATCATTCTAAGGGGCTGTTTCCTGTTGAAAAATGAGCAAACTGCATAAAAAAGTATTTTTTAAAAATGGCCTATGTATGTATAGAAAAGCCTTAGAAATTACAGGGTAAGCTGTTATTTTGTCCCCTCTTATATTACTACAGCAAGGGGGAAAATACAGGTGATATGATTCAATATGGAGAGGCTGACATTCAGTACTTCCAGAACATGTGGGGCTTCTAAACTGACTATATATAATGGTAAGGGTAGTTATGCAGTGACTGCTGATGAGATGCCCCTTGAGTGTGAATGTATCCTTTGATATTTTTTCCACTTATCTGCCACAACGCCCATCTGTTGGCCATTTTGCATAGACTATTTTGAGTTTTGCCTGAACCTTCAGTTTTAGGTCCGCTGAGAGACCAGATGGTAGAAGAGACAGAAAACCATTACAATCTGACATTGTCCAATAGATTCACCAGAACTAACGGAAATATCAAGACAAAGCATATTTTTACTATCATATTCTATACAAGGAGGAGGGCGCGATAATATAGTGGTTAGTACTGTAACCTCAAAGCAAGAAGGTTTCTGGTTTGAACCCAAGCTTGGACCTTGTTGTGTGGAGTTTGTTGTGTGGGTTTCCTCCTGTTATGCCGGCTTACTGCCACAGTCCAAAAACTGCTTAAATTCACAGAATAAAGCACTATATAAAATTTAATACAAAATTAAATACAGAATTAAATACAAAATTTTCTTGATGACTTATAAATCGCAGAACGGTCAGGCTCCAGAATATCTGTCTGACTTGCTGCAGTCTTATATGCACCCTAGAACTCTAAGATCAAGTGACCTCTTGCACTTGGCCACTTCTAAGTCGAGGCTGGTTCACAGAGGTGACCGGGCATTTGTGGTTGTGGCACTGAAAATGTGGAATTATTTACCTCTCCAGATTAGCAAGGCCCCAACTGTCAGTCTTTTCAAATCCCATCTTAAAACACATTTTCACTCATTAGCTTTCAACATCGCATGAGAGTTACCTATCTATCCACTTGGTCACCTGTTACCAGATATTTGTTATTGATGTTATTTGTTACTGTGTAATTGTTTTTATCATCTTTTTACAGTACTTTGGCCAACATTTTGTTGTTATTAAATTTGCTATATAAATAAAGTAAAAGTAAAGTATATAACTGTACGGTTAAATGCGGCTTATTGCCTAAATGTTTTGACTAGTCAGTAAGACAAGAAAAGTGATATGAATGCCAGTCCATTACGTTTATCTTCTAAACCTGTTTTCAAAAAATGACCGACAAACACAGAAGTGATAATTAACGTGCTACTTTTAAATATCAATGTGACATATTGTCCTCTAGATACAGAACAATTCGACAGTGTGACTTAAATAAGCTTTGCAGTTTGACTCATCTTGATATGAAGAAACTCTGGGCTTGGACATCACCTTGACTAGACAGATGTGTCCAAATCCTGACCACTCGCCAGACTTTGTGTGTCATTAGGGGCCCACAAGGCTTGTCAAATTTTAAAGCGTGAAAAAGGCTAAAAACATGTAGTCTCATTTTGCCTGGATTTAAAAGACAAGAGCTTCACTATCGGAATAATTGGATACCAAAAGCTACAGAACATTAAATTATAAAATCAGAAAATATGTATTTCGCAGTATATGTTACATTTTGCAAGCATTTGCCTTTAAATGCCCATGAACAATCGGTTCACATGAAGTAAAACAATAATACCGTTTTTTAAAACAAAAAACAAACAAGTGCATTTTGTTGATGTTAAATGCTCATTGTGCATTTCAATTAATGCACTGTATATTACTGGAAGTACTTATAATTAAATTGAATAACTAAATGGTACATGGGTCAATCTGTATAAACTGAGAACAGTCTATTCATGGGAGAGTAGCCAGGTCTTTATTACCTGCTTGATTTGGATGATAATAGAACTTGGATGCCAATAGGCTCAGCAGAATAGCAGCCCTTTAATGTAGAAGTATACCTTTTTGGGATCATACACCCCACCCTGTAATTACTGGACGACCAAGTCTACCACCTGAACCACAGACTTACCACACTGTTTGATTTTAGATCCTAAAAAGGATACTTTTTTTTTTAGCATTTTCTTTTTTCCAATAGTGTCTTAAAAAGACAGCAGAAATGACTCCATGCCATGTCATTGCTTCCAGCATGGCTGTCAGATGATATTGTATGCTTCAGATAATGAGCCATTACTTTCCCTCTTCATACATTTCCCCTCATATATTTCTCAGTGTTTTCTAATTGGCACCTTAGTTTGCAAATGATCAACAAACCCTATCATTAATATGTATTTCAAAATAGAGTAAATATAAATACATTTTGCAGATTTGTCCTATAAAATTCGTCATACTTCTTTCTCTGAGTTTTTGAGGAGAAAAACCTCCTCCAGAATCCACCAACACAACTTTCTGCTTACTTTAAGTATCTGACATCTAGTCACGAATGGTATACAGTGGGCTGTGTACAAGAAATGGTTATAATAGTTCGATGTGTATGTGTGTTGTTGTTTCTATGAGTAAACACTTGATCTCCTTGATATCTGTGTATGCACTGTAGGTGCTGGACATTCAGTGTTTTTGGCTGTGTCTAAGTGTTACATGTGTCTGTTGTATTGGACTGTTGGTGTACACTGGGCAGTGAGTGGGTGTGTTCCTAAGTGACTTATCACGAATCCGCCTAATACGCCTGCTTAAACGTGTCTCTGGAAAACCTGCAGTGTCTTGCACAGTCACTCTAAAAGGCAAATAGAGAAAACACAATGTCACTCATACCTATATTGAATAATCGTGAGTCTCTTAACACTTACTTGCTACAGGATTGTTTCACTACTATATGTTGTTAGTGAGACATGAAATTAAAACTATGTACTCCACAAAAAAGTCAATAAACATCCAAAGGACACACTGAATCTGTTTCTTGGCTAAACAGCATCTAGAAAACATGAATTTAAAAAGAAAATGTTGTGTGTGTGTGTGTGTGTGTGTGTGTGTGTGTGTGTGTGTGTGTGTGTGTGTGTGTGTGTGTGTGTGTTGCACTTGTTAAGCCCACCAAGGGTCAGGAAGCAATAAGTGTGAGGTCAAAAGCGAAAGCAAGATCCCTTTTGATCCCCATGATTCCATTGGCTGACAGAATAATACTAACAATAATGTTTGTTTGTGACTGAGAGAGATATGTAGAGATATGAAATTAAAGCAGTAAACCCATCATAGTGTGTGTGTGTGTGTGTGTGTGTGTGTGTGTGTGTGTGTGTGTGTGTGTGTGTCCACATAGCAGGCAGGTCTGGCCCGGATCTGGTATCAAGCCAGTACTGCTGGCTGACTTCTGGCATGATAAGACGTATGTCATCCAGATATGGGCCAGGCCTGGCATAGATGACACTGTTTATGCGATGGCATGCCATATCTGGCTCGATTGTAGTTTGGTTCATGTGGCCCAGGCCCATAGATAACAGGTCTGGCCCGGATCTGGCATCAAGCTGGCACTTCTGACTGACTGGTGTCATAGCAGAGTGTATGTCAGCCAGATGTGGGCCAGGTCTGGCAATGATGGCACTATTTATGTTCCTATTTTCCTATTTTAGTTAGAAGACCCAAATGCCATGTTTCAATACTATACTGCTATGGTAGCCAATGTTTCAAATGCAGGTTTGACAGGTTTGTGAGTGTACACTTTATCCAAAACCTAGTGACGGTTTACTCATCTTTGCCAGTGGGTGGCTGTAGCTCAGGAGACAGAGCAGGTCAACTACTGATCAGATGGCTAGTAGTTGGATCCCTGGCTCCTCCAGTCTGCATGTCAAGAGTGTGAATGTGTATGAATGTAGTTAGGAAGCACTCAATTTAGAGAAAGTGTGTGAATGTGGCATGTTGTATAGAGCACTTTAAGTAATCTGGGAGACTAGAAAAGCGCTATAAAAGAGTCAGTCCATTCACTGAGTTTCGTCATGTTACTTTTGCATGTTCTGGCACATGTTGTTATTACATGGCTTGATTAAGGTACACATTAGGCTGACATCTGGGGCCAGAGTTGAAACTGTTCTGGCTCAGCACAGGGCCAGCAGTGTGTCTACAACTGGCCCGTGGCTGCACCCAACTTACACATGGCCCACATACCGCAAAGAATGACGGTCCACACATGGGCCAGCACAGGACCACCAGTGTGTCTGCAACTGGCCTTGTGCTGGCCCATGTATGGGCCACATCTGGCAAACCAGATCTGGGCCACCAAAGGGCCATTCTTTGCAGTATGTGGGCCATGTGTAAGCACATTGTGTGATCCTGCAAGATCCAGGCCACACCAATTTTGCTATGTGTGTGTGTGTGTGTGTGTGTGTGTGTGTGTGTGTGTGTGTGTGTGTGTGTGTGTGTGTTTGTTTAAAAGCCTGGGATCAGATGATGAGCTGTAGTTGCCCTTAAGCACTTAAGCCAGGGAGAGAAAAGACATAAGTAAAAATCAAAGACAGATGATAAGACAGAGACAGAGCAGA